TAACCTAACCTAACCTACCCTATTGATAAAGATATTTAAATAATGTTTTATATAACTTTCTCAATATTTTTATGTATTTTTCATTAGTTTTACCTTTGAATACTGTTTAAGAATGACTATATAAATATTTACATGCCTAGAAATGTATAAAACTTGACATATTTATTAACTTTGAACCCCCATAACTTTTTATGGGGGTGAGACCGCCACGAACTTTTTATGGTACAGTAGTGGGGGAGACCTCCTCTTTCGATTCCCATTCGGGGGTGGGGGCCATTATCTAGTCCTTTACCAAAAAAACAATTTGGATATTTACTCATTAAAAAAAATATATACACATTTTTTTCGTAGAATGTTAAAAACAGGCCACCCTGTACATTTGTGACTAATACCCTTAAAACAACCGTTTACATTTTCTCTTTTGCCTTTACTTTTTACAAAAGAAAAAAAAAACAAAAGCTTCCTTTCGTAAATTGGTTATTTGTTTCCAATGGTTCTTTATGAAGATCGCCGCTTAAAAGTGTCAACGAGCAAACGTGTGCTATTCTGGCGTTTTATTTCCACGAGATTGACTCTACAACATGCATCGTTACATGGTCGCATGCATACCTGTACATGAATTAAAGTACCTACGTACTTTGGCACTTGACCCAAATGAGTAAATTATGCGTTACAGCAATTCCGGGGAAACGGGTAAAAGTAACATGGAGTAAAAAAAATATTTACGTCAAACGAAATCCATTTGACATTAAAAGCATGCAGCACATTGAATTCGAACAAATAAATTGAAACGAAACAAATACCTACCTACGTGGGCCAAGTATGAAGAAATTAACAAATACTGATAAAGTTCGTGAACCGAAAAAATACATATATACTGTCGTCCTAATGTAATAGATAGTAAACAATGTATTTAACTGCCGTGGCTAATATTCTGCGACCCATTGACAAATCGTTTAATTTTTCTGGCGCGATTTACGGTTTACTGAGTAATTCTAAAATAAAGTCAGATGAATATTTGCAGTCGCTAGCCTCTTAATAATAATAATAATTTTATAGTACTGAAAAAATAATAACCAGCTTAAGAATAACTGGACAAGTGTCGATTTGAATCTATCACCTTGTCATAAACGTTGTAAAAGAAGTTATCCCCATTGAGACCAGGGTTGAAATGTAATGTAATTGATGATAAAAAAGTAATTACTAGGGAATTTCTACGACATGGGTGACCATAAAAAAGGTAAAACCTGCACAAAATGTATTATTTCGTGATTTTATTTGTGAAAGTGGAAGTAAGATCGTATTGTAAAAGCATATTCTTGTCATTTCGATTATGCGCTATTATTTTTGAACAAGTTTGGAAGAAGCAAGATCCAATCTAGATATGTTGTGATCTATTGCCACCGCTCGCCGAACAAAATTTTTACACAGAACATGACGTGGATTTCGCTGGGTTCACATACGTTTTATACACTAGTGGTGAGTTGAAAAAAGAAACTTGTGAATACATAATTCTATTACATGCATAAATCCATCATTAAAGGGAGGCATCGTGCTTTGAAAAATACGATGCGTTGTATGGGAAAATATATATAACATAAGTTTAATAAATGCAATTTAAACGTTTTGATAATGTGTTACACAAGGTTCGGTTTGTTTAGAGCAGTTTTCAAAATAGCTAGTGATTTTTTTCAGATAGACGTGTTTGAAAAAAAGTATTCTACACGTCTACCAAATTATGCATCTTTACTCGTGCAACATAAACAGAAAAAATGTCGACAAAGAAATGTGTATTTTCTATGTTGAGTGAATGTTTTGCCTTACATGTATGCTCACCACCAGTTAGAAACTTAACTTCACCAGTTAGAAACATAACTTAATCTCAAATGTCAAAAATATAAACTAAAAATTAAAATGTTTCTTGTCGGATATTTGTAATATTGTGAGTTTTCGATTGTCGTATTGGGAAACTTTCTAATTTACTCACGGCGCGTTCTAGATATACAAGTAAGGCAAAACGTTCATCGAATGTAGAAGTAACACATTTCCTTATGGATAATTTTTTTTAGTTTGGTGAATGTGTGAAATGTACATTTTCAACCACGAATATCTCAAAATATCACTTGCTACTCTAAAAACTAGAGATGGGTCAGGTACTCGATTTGGATCCGATACTCGGCGTAGCTGGTAGTTTTTTATGATCCGGCCAGGTACCGGATAATGACGCCAGATACTCAACAGAGAAAAAACAAATTGTATTTGTTTAAAGTCGTTTGTCTTAATTTGTATTATATATTGATTACCATACTAAATTATAAGAACAAAGGCTTTCACGACCGGAATCCACAGTAGAATGAAGACTCGGGCTATAGGGCCGTGGTATAAGTGAACTGTTCTGTCCAGACGTTTCGTCAGCGTGAACGTTGTCAACGCAGCACTACCACTGAGGATGTCAGCCGCAGTAGCTGACGAAACGTCTGGACAGAATAGTTCACTTAGACCGCGGTACTATAGCCCAAATCTTCGTTCTACTACCAAACTAAATTATTTGCTATTTCGATATAGTTCTTGTATTTACTTTTTCTGTTACAATTTCTGTCGTTTGTTGGTATATCAAGTTTTGATTAACGATAACTTGTTAGTATGATCTTATCTATCACCTTGCAGACATGTGTCTATAAAATTATAGGCTCGCTTCAACGGTTTCAACTCAACCCTCTCATTGAAAATCCGTCAACTAAGAATTTCACTTCACTGGTTTAGACTTTTTGAACGAAGACATGAACCATTAACCGTAGTGGTTTTGCCGGGCACTTGGCACAGCTTATGTCAGGTATCCGGTTATCCAGTATCCGGCAAAATCACTATCCGGTGAATATATAAAACTGTCCTAAACTATTCGAATTCTCAAGATCTTTTGAGAATAGCACAACACCCCTCAAAAGTTTTAAAGTGCATTTCTTAGATGTCTAAAAGTATTTATTAGAATTTTCTTATTTTCAATAGATTTTTCGTTGTTTCTGATTTTGTTCAATATATACAATGTACCTATTTATAGTGTACAATATGCATATTACTAATTTTGTTATATGCAATTCATCAATAATAATTACTGTTATGTTATGCATTCATTTTCATAAAGAACCAGTTTTATAAAATTCCTAATTTTGCTATATGTCTACGACATACAGATTAACATAACTCATACAAACTGTCCCAACAAGACCGTAGGCACTCGTTTAATAAACCTTTAAATTGCATCAGCTCGTTTTGCGCCTCATAAAAATGACGTTATTTTAAAAAAATTCCTTATTGTGAGACAATTAGCTGCAGGGTATCGCCTTAAAATTGAAATTATATAATTAATTTCCTCGTTCTTTCTTGCGTGAAACTTCAATTTCTTCACACATTTGTAAAAAAAGTAGACAAGGTTAATTGTCTAATTTTCTCCCAAATTTTGGTAAATTTTGAAACCTAACACATTTATAAAATTTAAAAAAATTCCCTGATTAAAGTATTCCCTACAATTTTTCACATATTAATAATAAATTTCCAGGGTTTCAAACTTTTCCAGATCAACCGACGACCTAAAGGGTTTCTATATACCTTTCCACTTCGGAACATTAAAAAAATAAAATAAACTTACTTAAAAGCAGCTTTATCCTCGTCACTGACTTGACCATTTTGTTGCACAACCGCGTTGCCTTGGACGCCGTTGATTTCGGAAGCGTCCTTGGGCGTGGACGGTTTGTCCTTGCCGTCCTTGCCATCGTCGAGGTGTAGACTACGCATACGAGGCTCCAAACCGACCATTCCCCCGCCCCCACCCGCGCCGTCTTTATTCGTTGGCGAACTGCCCAATACGTATTCGACCATTTTCACGCCCAAACCGCCCGTATCGGAACTGCGAGGCGACAATATACTGCCCGTGTCGCCACCGGCGAAACCACCGCCGCCCGTTCGCCGACTCATCGCCAGGGCCGTCGAAACCGCATGGTCGCCTGCAACAAAACAAAGCTGGTACTACAAAAAAAAAAGAAAAACAAAAGAGAAATTCGTTGAAGATGTATAGTTTGAAAAATTTTTCGGCTGCACGGGTTTTACTTTAAAATTAATGCAATTTTCTAAATCTGGCTTGGGATGTAAAAATATATACATTCAGTACAGATACTTTATGGTTGGCACAATTGCATTTTAAACTAAAACATTTTATGGAAATCTGCGAGGAGTGAGTATTGAGGTTGAAAGCAAACTCGTTGGAACGAAACGAGTTAAATCAAACCCAACCGTGAACCATTTGACATGGACTTTGAACTTCAGGTGAGCCACTACCACATTATCTATGACCCTAAGATGGAATATAGACAATTAAACACGTCAAAATATTGGTAATTTTTCACGATAACATCATGGATATTGAAGGTAAGCCTGAGGGGCAGTTCCATCCTTTAATTAGACGTTTTGATAGTCAGATAATTCCAGAAAGTCGGATATTTGGAGGAGGTTGCCACATAATTTATTATCATTACAAAATGCAAACTACGCAGAACGTCACATTATACAGCGATTTTATAAATTGTAAATATTTATTAAGGTTGAAATGTAATGTAATTGATGATAAAAAAGTAATTTTCCTGCTCTGTTTTTGTAGATTTAAAGCACAATAGAAATTTCNCATTTTCGTATAAAAGACTGTGTCCTGGCTGATTAACTGGTACACAATGCACAGTCGAATTTGAATGAAATTTTAAGAACGTGGGCATCAAATTTCTGAATTTACATAATTACTAGTATTTTTTATATGTATAATAATTTTACGTGGCATTAACTACTAGGCCATGAGCGACTATACATTATTAGTTGGTATTACAACATGATTCAAACATTTCTGTGACTTTTTCTTGTTCCCGAAACTAAACAGGCTCATGAAAGGACGACGCTACGCTACAATGAGCAGATAAAGACGGCATCGAAGGAGCTAAACAAGATCACAAAAAAAAAATTTTTTTGAAGTGCTTCGAGGATTGGAAAAAACGTTGGCACAAAAGTGTATAATATCTACAGGGGATTACTTTGAAAGGGGCCGAAATAGATATTCATGAATAAGTAAATAATTGTTAAAACACAAATTTCGCGATACTTTTTGAACAGATCTCGTGGACACTGCTCAATCCTTCTGAATTTTAATGGAGTATTACCGGCAACTGTTAGTATATCACTACTTGGACATGAGCGTTGTTATGGTTGTTGTTGCTACTGTGGCAAATTTTAAGTTTTAGGATGTTGTCGTTTGCGGAATAGTATATTATTGTAAACAAATATGTGTATATTTGAATACTTAGGAATATCCTACTGTATTCCGCTACACTGCTCTTGTATTTGAGCAATGTTTTGTAAATTTATTTCTAGAATTATTTCACCAAATAATAGTCATACTATGGCGGAATAATTAATGTGACATACCAAAAAATTTTTGAAACTGTTTTTTCTACTATTGATATGAAATTTCAATAAGTGTCCCCGACAACTATTATGTATTGTTATTGTAATTATGTATTTTACAAATTATTTTTCGTTGTAGTTATGAGTAAATTTTGTTTTACTTCAATGTAAGAAAATAAGTATGTAATCGAAAGTTCTAACGCTGTTAACGCATATATGCATTTATTCTTTTTATAAAGTAATTGCCTTAAAGTTTAGAGGCTGAAGTAAAATAAACAGATTTTTGCCAGAACAAATGGTTGTATGCAAATGAAATAAAAAAAATCGTATATTAATAAAAGAATTTAGTAGTTTAGTTTAGTGTAGTTTTTTTTTTTTTTTTAAATCGCATTGCACGGGTGTCAAACCCTAAAACCATTATCCTATTGTTGTCGATAGTTTAATAAGAGACCCTCCAAGTTATCATAGAGTGGGTTGTTAAAGAATGAACCATATTACCATAATTGTATATCTCAACTAGATTCAAGTGCCCAAACTAAACTTTTAATAATCTTAGGACCCAGTGGGAACGCTTTTCAAGAACGGACGCAGTCGAGCTCCGGCTTTAACAAGGTCCTCTAATCAGATATTGTTTTACATGAATAAAAGAAGACAAGCAATATTAAAATAGAGTCATGTATTCTTGACTATTATTCTAATAAGTAAATTTCTTTCACTGTTATTCTGTTTAGAATCGTTTAATCGTATAAATGGGAAATTGGAAACAGATTATGTACTCTGTTCCTGCATGTAAACATACAGTGGAATTCGTATATTATGACTCCGCCTATATTGACCAACTGCTTAATACAAAGTAATTGCAGTGTTAAGTTTGGTTTTCATATTAAATTCTCTATAGGAAAGTTTGGATATAATGACTCCGTTTAAAATGACATATCGTTTATTATGACTGATTCTCAAGAAATCATATCCGGCTATAGTGACCTAAATGATTAATAATAACATTTTCGCTCATTTGTCTGACCCTTCCCAGTCCTGCTCCTTCAAGGAAGTTTGGTGCGTTCGTAGCGCGTGACTCGTTTTTATTTTGATTTTCAGTGACAAGGATTTGTATGTATTGTTGTTGTGATTTGTGCACAAAATGACATCGCAACGTAGAGCATTTACCATTAAAGAGAAAGGTGCTATTATATGCAGATTTGAAGATGGAGAATCAAACTCATCTCTTGCAAAGGAATTTGGTGTTGGCCATTCGACAATATCAATGATTTTCAAAAACAGGAACCTGGTTAAGGAATCGTTTAATTGAAAAATGTTTTAAAAAACTATTAGATGAAAATATCGTACAGAACATGACAGCTAATGAGCAGAACGAAAGCGACGAGGAAGAGGAAATCGAAGAGGCAAAAGAAGCTTTAAAAGCTGCAGACTTATTATCACGATTTGTTTATGGCAATTTCGAAAATGATAAATAATTTAAGGCGAGCAATGTCTTCTTTACACAATAATGTTAGAGACTGTTATTACAATTTAAAGAAAAAACAAAAGCAAACAACAATCATTGCTTTCTTATGTAAAAAATTACAAAATATGTTATGTATATTACAATTCATCGTTCTTTTTCTTTTTCTGCTAATAAATATATACAATTTGTAGTTTTTCTCTCTATTAAACTAAACCATCATCATCATAAGGTCATCAATCCGGTTGGACACGCACCTCCACTCTTTCCTATTCTGAGCTAAACTTCGCATTTCCCTAAAACTAGAACTCACATCCTTAACTATTTGCGAACAGTAATCTAGGTCTACCTCTACCCCTCCTAACTCCTGTTCCTGCCTCTAATATGTCTCTGAAGAAACCTTCATGCCTGAGAAGGTGTCCTACCAACCTATCTCGCCCATTTTTTATTGACTTCCAAAGATTCCTCTGTTCTCCTATTCTTTCTAATATCTCTTCATTTCTAACCTTTTCTACCCACATTATCCTCATCATTCGTCTATAACTCCACATTTAAACTAAATAACTAACCAAAATAGAAATATGTTTATTTTCTAAAACTATACATTGTATGACACCCGCTTAGTATGACGTGCTTGTAATTTCCCTCCAATGTCATTATAAGCGGATTCTACTGTATGAGTAATTTGTAGTGAAATAAATAATTTTGTGGAGCCCGTAGATCTGGAGAAATCGGATGATCTACTGTGGTGATATTATCATACTGATGGATCACATACATCATCGTCAGCCGATCTTGTGTTCTAATTTGCACTATATTTTATAGAGACAAAATTAATTTTGTAGACCTTATTGATCCCGGGATTTTTGATTTCTACCATGCTAGAAGATCCCATGTTCGTTTCAGTCAATATTATGGTCTTTGTATCATGGATTATTGTAATTTTTTAGAGATTCAGATGATTTACTGTAAGCTTGATGATATCTATCATGTTAATTAATCACATGTTCGTTTCAGTGGATCTTATGCTCTAATTTACACATTTTGTAGGCAATTTGTAGTGAAAAAATTGTTGAGCGTATTGATCCCGGGAAATTGCATGATCTACTGCGAACTTGAAAAGTTTAATGAACTAACATATTAAGTTGATTATGCTAATAACACTCGTCAACGTAAAACCATAAAGAGAAATTAACTGACATTTCGCACAGAAATTTGGAAGCCTTATTTTGACGAAATAGTACACATATAAAACCGCGTAACTAGCTTGCGCATTCACCTATAAAGATCAGCATTTAACTGAAACCGGATCAGCGGGGAATTTTGAAGGTATGTTTTCTGACTAAACGAATAATTGCTTACATTATTATAAACGGTTTGTAGTGTAGTGCAATTCTGTTGAATTATTTTAAAAATTTACAAGCGGGTATGTTAAATTTTTTTGTGTTACCGATTTCGAGGTAGAGGTAATAGTTGATTGGAAGCTATAATATCGAAACGAATTTGTAATCATTTAATTTCCTGAAATCAACAAAATTAATTGTTTAACTACAAATTAGCTAAAAAATATGATGAAAACCAAGCAAATTAAAACTAACATGTGATCTGCTAGCATGATAGATATAAACCTCGCAGTAGATCATCCGATTTCCCGAGATCAATAGACTTTACAAAATTAACCTTTTCACTGCAAATCAGCTACAAAGTATGATGTAAGCTAGAGCCCGAGATCGACTGAACGGGATACATATACGAGGGTGGATTGATAAGTTTCCGGCCTGACCAAGAAAAACAAGGTTTTTAAAAATTTTTTTTTTTTATTTCTCAACATAATCTCCTCCAAGGCTGATACATTTCTCATAGCGGTGTTCCAGTCTATTAATGCCATCTCTATAGACTGATTCGTCAAGCTCCT